TTTTTTTTGGAGAGATTTTCACTGTAGGGCGCGTGCGCTCGCCAGACAGACAGAGAGAGACATAGAGACAGAAAGCGAGAAATCACCCCCCAGGGGGGATGGTCACGCCGCAATCCCTTCTCCTCCATTCTCCTCTTGGGATCTTGGGCACGCACGCACACGCGCCCGGCGTGAGTTTTAAGCCACCGGGTCCGGGACATGAACCACAGTCGACTATGTGGGAGTCCAGCGACATAGCCATTATGCTAACTGCTGGTTCCCTTCATTAGCCATTTTCAAATAAATTCAGAGAGACTATGTTACCTGTGAATCCAAGAATATTACCAATGTTAATTGGTAAAAAAATATTCCCTACCCCACAAGATTTAACTAATTTCTAGGTCTACCTCCTTGTCAAGGTTATTAGCAGTGAGCTTGATTTTAATAACTGTAGATGAGGTGGAAAGATGGGAAGAATGCAAAAAAAAAAAAAGAAAGAAAAAGAAAAAAAGAGAAGTGGTGGTTAGCCAATAGCAATCTGTTTCCTTTTTTCCTTTCTGCTTATTTATTTAATTGGTTTAAAAAACATGATGATATATAAGGGCCACCATTCGGTGCATTTAATTAAAATAGTCATGCCTGGTATAATTTCTTTTATGAAATATATTTCAGAATTTATTCCATAGATGGATTACCTGCCGACCTTCAAAAATGGCACCCTAAGCAATAAAAGAATGACAACAGAAGTTAACATTGGTTCCGACATTTATAGCTCACAAACAGATTTCACATGGGTGAGATCATCTCACATGTTATCCTTGGAACAACTTTGCCAGGTCCCCAGGGCGGGAACCACCATCTCCATTTTATTAGAAAGTTCGCAATGGCAGGGTGATGAATGGAACCGCAGCTTCCTAATTCCAAGTTCAGAGCTCTTTAAATCTGCTGAGCAGCTGGGCCTCTCGCTGTCCTATTGCCCTTTTGGCTGTAAGTAAACACCCTTGGTTTGGGCTCTCCCACGTCGACTTGTGCTAAAAATCAATCCATGTTTACATGATCTATTTTTGAAAATGCACTCTATTCCCTGCTGCAATAACCAAGCTTTCTTATAAAGTATACCTAACTGAATCTAATAT